ACACACATGACGTTCCTATTTTTACAAATACTCACCCAAGTCTAGTGAAATTATATGCCTCTAAAAAGCAACATTCACATATGCTTAATGACCTGCTAAATCCTGGCAGCAAGGTTATCCAAAACCCTGTTTCCATTAGGTAGGTTTTTAACTGCCCAAGAAATGAATACAGCTTTTTAATTTTTTGTTGCTTGCCAGGAGCTGAAGAAAAGGGTAAAAATGGATACAAGAAATGAGCGCAAAGACGGTGCACTTCTGTCCTTCAGTCTTCTACCACCTGGATGCTGAAGCACCTCAGTGGAATACAAAGTTGTAGAAAGCAGAAGTGAAACACAGAGAGGCTTGGGGAAGTGGGTTGAGAGGTGAGTGGCTGTACAGGAACAGAATTGTCTTCCAGTAGAGAACAGTTTCCTGTAAAACCTGAACCTTCAACCTGAAAGAGAATTCAGCATTCCCAGTTCTCACATTATGATGCCAAGTAACAAAGGTTCTCTCTCCTATTGCCAAAAACGGTGCAACGAAGATGGTAACTTACTACTAATCATATGAGTACCTGAATACTAGGTGGCTAAGTTTCTATTCTGAGTTTAATGGCTTCAACCTAGCTGATGACTCAGACACATGTGACTTACTAGGCATTAAATAAGGATGAAAACTGTTTAGTAAGTATTAAGGCTTTAAGCTCTTCAACTGTCTCAGTGATAAGGTTTAAGTCACCAAAACTTTGCCTCTGAGCTTCTGGTAGTTGCTAAGCATCACAAACTAGAATTTATGTAATTGGCCAATTTAAAACAAATGGTACTTGGGTCAGTAAAATCGTGATTAAGTTGGGGGCAACTGTGCTGTGAACTACCAAAAGCTGCAAGTATGGTAAACAGTTTGAAGGAGGCAGCCTCAGGACCTTCTAGTTCAGTATGCAAAGCCAGTGGATATTTGAAGATTTTGCCATTACTCTTTCAGTCTTACTGACTCTAACTCAGAAACTTTCTAACTTAACCAAACGTGGCATGGAAATGCAAGTAAAGGCTTGTGACACTTTAACGCTGTGGTGAGCCTCCTGGGAGGGGCCAAAACAGACTCAAGGCCAAGCCTGAATGGTTAGCACACAGAACAGTGAAGGTGGATAAAGAAAATACCTCATGACTACCATTCACTGAATCCCATCCACCTGACAGAAGAGACTGCTATTGTTGACAATAGGGAAACAGGTGTTAAAATGTTTTTACACAATGGAACGTTAGGTCTGTGGTAGCTATAAAGTTGTCCTCTTACCATGGCTTACTACATATAGTCAACCTATACTGAGATTCTCCATTTGATAGCATCATGGAAGCAATTCCCACCTGTTTTATCAAAAGACTGCACATTGTAAGTTCGTAGTTCTGCTGGTCCAGAAAGTCTTCCAGTATTTGGAGGATTAGGGAAAAATCTTTCTTGTCTTCGAGGAGGAAGAACTGCATCAGTGTAAGGCTCAACTAACATTGAAGAAATCACGAAACAGGTCAGTGAAGACTTATTCCCCCCATTCCATACAATTTTAGACCAGCAAAATTCTCAGGATATCTTATGCTCTTGTAAATATCCAAAGTGACGATTAATCAGGGTGAGCAAACAATCTTTAAAAACCCCAAACATAAGAATCCCACCAAGTAGGTACTATAGCTTATGTTTCTAAGAAGCTGCAAAAGAGAAAAGTTAATTGATTTTTGGTTTAACATACAGTAGAATTTTGAAAGTTATGACTACCTAAGTTATAAACAGTGGGGCCTTGAAACAAAGGTTCAGCACAGCAATGAAGGTCAAAGGCAAAACTATTTACTATACATTTTAAGGCACACTTAGATGAGTCCCATTTCCTGTTACGTGTCATAGTGCTGTAATGTGTTTCCACCAACTTCCTTGCATCACACCTAGCAATCATGCAGCTACAAGACAAACTGTATCAGTGAGATCCAAGAGCAAAAATGGGGTAAGAACACAGCTCAGGTCAAGGAAACAAGATTACCCCTCTGCAGTATCCCGTCAATAGATCAGATCTGGCAAATGAGAAACTGCATCCTGAGTGGAATTTGAGTTTTATCATCAGGCTTTCACACAGATGTGTAGCAACTACAATATTGCTTGCTGCATCTAATAATTGAGGTGCTTCAATCTCTATACCTAATTTTTCATTTTTTTTTTAACTTGTAGCATTTTTTCTTCTGTATTACAGGTATACAGGAAGGTTTTCCTTCCCCCTGCACTGTTTACTTTAGAAATATCGGTAGTATCCTCTTTGATTTATCTCTGTCTTCCTTGACTGAATAGTATGCAGTACAGATGTTTAGCTGAAGAAGTGAGAGTGAAGACTTATTTTGTTGTTGTTGATTACCAAAGAGGCAGTATCAACATGAAAATATGTACTGAACAGGATGACTGTATCATGGTACTTCTGTACTATTAACATAAATTAAAAAAAAAACAAAACAACTTAGTAGTTTTCAACATTAGCTAGCTTTTATTTATTTATTTAAGGCTAACGTACCATTAAAACTTTTTACTTTCTTAGGTCTCTTATTAATTATCCAGCCCAGACAGGTCTTTTGATGCACTAAACATGCCCCCAGTAAAATGATGAAACTGAACAGCTGATTGTACACTGCTAGTACCAATACACATTTAAAAGACAGTATGCTGTCTTGAAGGACAAGAATACTTGTCCTTTCTTGAAGAAGGACAAGTGAACCGCACCATTCAAGAAGAGGAAAAAAACTACAATTAAAAACAAAAGCCACAAAACATTCCAGTGCAGTTGCACATGCAGTTCCAAGAAAACATTTTGTATTTTTAACCAAAAAATACTTAATTATATACACTACAAGTCAATAACTCCATTTTTCCATAGATAGAGTAGTTAAGCAGATTTTTTTACCTGGTGGAGGCAGAATTATCCTGCGTTCTCTGTCCCAAGGAGGAGACAGGGATCCAGTATCTGATGGTGGTCTGTGGGGATCAGTTAATCTATCAGAACTCAGCTCTCCTCTTTCATTACCAGCTTCATACATGCCAGTTGGTCCTCTGGATCCTAATCGAAGAAATCAGACAGCTATTTACCCAGGTATTTTAAATCCTCTATTATGGCTGTCTTCATTAAGTCTGAAAATAGTAAAATAAATCATGGAATGCCAACACTGTCAAGATTTGAGAGGCGCGTGGCTCCACAGGACTCTCCAGCTGTTTGCTGATGACCAGTTATGTTTACTAGAAGTGTTTAAAAGGTTTGTTTGGAATGAAAAAGTCTTACTTCAACAAGAGTGCAATCTAGAGTACCTGTAATTTAAAAAAAAAAATAAATAAAATAAAATTAAGAGTTTCAGTTCATTCAAATGTGAGAAACTAGTGCCCTCATGATAAATCAGCTTCTCAGTGCTAAAAAAAACTGCTGCTAATCAAACTAAAAATTAGCGCACTGAAAGTTAATACCCTCATTGTAAGAAAACATCCACATTACATTCAACACTCTTCTGGTTCTTTCTAATGCTTTATTCAAGAAAAAAGAAATAAGAGAAGACCAGGTCAACACATAACGAAGTGCAAGAGAAACTGTAACAGTTAGTGATTTTAGGTTGCAAACTTCTTTTAAAATAGATTTGGTCTGAAAAATGACATAAATACTGAATTCTGGTATCATTCTCTTAATACTCTATCCTAAGATTCAACCTAAAATTGAGCACTGTAATCATTCCATAGCTGGCATTATTTAAACACATCATTTGTATAATCTGCTCAAGTTACATTAGTGCTCCGTGGTGAAATGGGCAGCAGTTATGCCTTCGCATAGTCTCTTTCCTAGCTAATACTGCATCCTGAAATCTAGTTTTTACTCTTCCTCACCAGCAACAGCTGAGCTAAAATTAAAGATACATTGGACAGCTCAGTTTCATTACTTACTGTCTCTATACAAATAGTCAAGTACGATTTTGCTTGTGTGTGGTATAGGTACAGTTGAACACTCAATCTCAAGCTTTTTTCTGACTTAGAAAATGAATCAACTTTCATATGCACCTGGATATGCTTTTTACAAAGAATTAAAGTAAATAAACAGTCCATGCTGGTCTTTTAAAAATCAATGTTGATTAGTGAAATCCTTATAGAATACACATTTAGACATATTTCCCATGAAATAAGTACAGGTTTCAGCAGGTGTAATAGCAGTAGTAAACTAAATAGTAGCTTCTTTATTACCTGTAACAGATGCTGAACTCCACTCTAGCATTTATATACACTATTTCCATCAACATCAAAAATATGAAGGAACAGTGTTTTTCTTCCCTTACAACCCATGACACCAGGGCTTGCTTTCACCTACTCCTCAATCGCTGCATTTCACTCCTTACACACAACCTTCCTGGTCCCTTTTATCACTAGGGAAGAAACTGCCTCCACGTATAACAACTGCCTCAAATTTAGAACAAAGGGAGGAAAACAATTTACTCAATCAGTAACTTTCTAGTATCACGACCCCCAATAAAACTGTCTCATGTTTTTGACAACACAGGTACCCTTCTCTTCCTCTCACCGACTGTAGACCAATGAGATGGAAGTGGCAGTATTTTTTCTTCAGAAAACTAATCACTTTTGTTTACTTCAAAATCCTAAGTTTATTTCAGCAGAACCCCATTTGTCCAAGAAATAAAGTAAGACTGATAGTTGGGCTTTTCAGTTTTCTCAATCTATGCTTCTAAAGTAAATCCACTGACCAACCCACTAGTACCAACTATGTTTTCTATTGTACTGTTACACATTAGACAGCTTTAGAAGCAAGCTGAAAAACAGGAAGAGTTTGTCCAATTAACTGTATATATTGAATTGGTTGTTTTAATACTTTTTGTCACCAGCAAGAGGAAAAGGTGTGACAGGTTTATAGTAGAGGAGAGTGAAATCCAGAATAGATACATTTTTCAAGTTTAAGAATTGTACCTCTTCCTCCTCCTCCACCTGGAAGCATAGGTGAAAGCCTTAAAGGACCCTCCAATAAAGTTGGAGGGGAAAGAAAAGCTCTTGTTTCAGATGAAGGCCGGCCCATTGGTGAGGGTCCATATGGGGAATGCTCTGGAACAGTTAAAACAAAATACTCAAGTTCACAATATTTAGTTTAGCAAACTGTATAAAGTAGTTAACTTCTCAGGTGAAGTTTAAAACTAAATTGTATAAGTGAAATGAAAATTGTGCTCTAATTACCATGTGTATCATATTCCCAGTCTACTCTCATCGATACTACAAATGCTCTTAGTTTCAACAAAATACTCAACATGACCTAGAGTCACTTACGACCCAATTATTTTTTTAAATGACTGTTATTTGTACATACACATGGCCAAGATAGTTTTCAAACAATTACATATGTGTGGTCTTAGGAAACAAAACCAAAACAATTAGGCTCTATTTCACAATTCAATACTGTACCTCTGCCAAATGGTCTAACTGGAACATCAAGAGCATAAGGATCTTTTTCTAAAAGGTCAAGTTTAAATTCTGTTTCAGTTAATCTGCAAATAAACAACAAAAAAGTAGTAAATAACCAAGTAGTGCAAAAGTTTTACTGGACTGCACCATTTACTGCTAGGCGTTCTACTTAAAGGGTTAATGAAGCAAGGTATTTTATTCCCTAAATAAAAAGACAGACAACAAAGGATGTCACAGAACTCTGAAATTCAGCACTTCATCTTCTGAATTAACAGCTTAAATACAGCAGCGTAGAGAAATACTTTCAGGAATTCTTAAGTGGCACATTAGATGCCACAATTCCTAGCATGACATTACTGTCACGAGTACTCTCCACTGTGCTCCAAATATTAGTTAATTTCACACTTAAAGGTTCCTTACAACTACCCTCACTGTTAGCTCAGTATTAATTTCTGAGATAAGCTGTAAAATCATTAGGTAACCATGACTTCTGGTTGATACGTACTTACTTAAAACAAACAAAACTCAAACCCCCAAAACCTTTGCGTTCTAGTACTACATTCTGCTTCTTTCCTGAAATATTTCAGTACTTCCCACAGTTCTTAAGGTTTTCCTTTCTTGCATGTTATCATTACAGGAATGCTCAAATGACTCTCTTTCAGAACTCCAATGGAACACTGTGATCCCTCTGCCCTGTTTGGGCCACAACGGATTAACACAGATCTAGAAAATACCAAATTGCATAAATCCAAAACATACTCACATGCCAAATTGCATTTGTTTAGAGTTAGATCAGGACTGCACTTACTTTTGTCTGTTATGTGCATTTTCTTTTTTTATATCATTGAGGTGTCTTTCAGCTGCTCGGGCTGTCAGCTTTGGGGAGGGACAAAAATCACATACTTAGGTATTGCTATTTATTAATTAAATGCTTCATAAACGTGACAGGTCCTAGATTCAAGACATTTTTTCTATTTGAAGTGTGTGACTATTTTCACAAGATATGACTCCTGTATAAAGCATATGAAACAGAGCCTCACATATGTCACCAAATTACATTAGCAGCTCTACTACCCAAATTTTTGAGGAATATGGCTTTCCTGCAGGTTCTTAAAACTGCAGAAATGCATTTCTTTGACTATAGCTGCTTTGAAGCACCTACAGATTATGTACAAGAATTAAAGTCTCAAATTTTATAGAAGAAAGTTTTAATTTAGAATCATATAGTTAAAAACTGTAAAATTATGACCACGAAGCGCCATAGCTTTCAACAGGATTCTATCTTATACAGACCATTCTGTGAAACTGAAGAATGTATTAGTCAGGAGACATTTTAAAATTTCCTGTTTGGAAAAAAAAAGGTAAAAATGGATTTTGTAGCAACATTCTTAGGAAGCTGTCAATGGAACATACTGTTCTCACAGGACATAATGTCTTCCATTAGTAGATAAAAGGAGTGAAGTGCATCCAGGGAAAATATTAAAATGGCATTGAAACAAGGCCAAAAGCTTTTATTATTAGCAAAATGTCACACACTTGTTAAATGGTAACATGTTATTCCAGCAGATTTATTGCTATAGCAAATAATATTGTAATATCATTCTACTGTGCTCATAGGTATCAGTCTTAATTATTCCAACTATTTTATATGACAGAAGTATTTCTAACATGCTTTTGTGTATTTCTGCAAGAAATCCATAAGTTTAAAGGTGACAGGTTAGAGTTAATTTTGATTATCTGTTTTTAATAAGAAACAGAAAAGTGATAAAGCAAGCTATTAAAAATCACTGAAAAGGAAGATGCACAAAGTTCAGAAAATTCAGTATTTGGTACTTACCCAGTTATCATGAGCTTTTTTCTCATGTGAAGTAATCTGTGAAAGAGAGATTTATTAGATGATTATTCATCTAAAAAAGAAAACTTAAGATTGAGTATATGCTCTTACTTGTAAATTTAATGTGTGTGGATAATTTATAATGAGACATCTAAACTTAAAATGTAACTTTTTAATAAAGTTATCTGGTGATCTTTGCTATGAAATTGTGTCAGTCAAAACCAGATGGCATAAATACAGTATCACAGCCTGGCTGAAAGTGGTACTTCAGTTGCAGGAACATCCCTCCTGCTTGGCATAGATGGTAAGTGACACAAAGCACATACCTGATTCTGATATGAACGAATGGTTCTTTCTAGCTCTTCTTCAAGATCTTTTGCTCGCTGTCTGTAACAAAATAAGGATTTATGACATTGCAATAAAATGTTGAGTAAAGTAATTTTAAATACAGTAAACATAATGGTAAGCACAAGGTATAATTAAAATTTTTTATCCAAAAGACAGTATTGTCACTTAGGCCTGTGCAATACATAAAAATTATAGTACCAGTGGAAATTCTAGGCCCTAGATTAGTGCAAACAGGATGGTAAACAAAAGAACAGAACCAAAAAACCCAACATCTCCCCAACTTTTCAGTGATCTGCGATATGTTCCCAATATAAAGGACATCCCTCCACCTATGCCCTAACAGCCAGCCTCACCCAGCTCAGCAAATCTAACAATGTGGCTGGAGCATCATTCTGTCACAGGCTACCACAGTCAGCCCTGAGGGACAGTCGCTTGCACTGAAATTATGTCAAGACCACAGAAAGTATGATGCCACCTTTGCTGCCAGCTGCCCTGTGCACATTCACTGCTTAGGTTATACTATACTATTAATATCTGCAATATTAGTATTCTCTTTAAAATTAAGATGTCTACAAAGTTCACATTCTGATTAAATCAGGAAAAGTGAATTCTGTCTTCCTGTATGAATACTGAAGAATGTCTACAAGAACTTTACATTCTAGAGAAAGAATTAATCTAAATAACTCTTCAGGAAGCATTGTTGGTCAGTATTGTTCAGTTAGAGTCAATACTCCCATAAACGCTGAAGGAAGATGGGGAATATACATTACAGATTGAAGAATTATGCCACAGTTTGAGAAACCACAGAAACAAACCAGAGGTACACAGCTGGTGTAACACAAAACAGAGCAAAGCAGTTAAACACCTACAGACAACATTCCCACATCACAGTACTTTAGTAAAGTTTTTAAACAGTGCTATTTGACAAGCTTAGACATACAGAAATAGAATACTGTAACTATGCGACATAAGTATGTTAGGAACTGTAGGAAAACATTTGCATTTATTTCACAGCATTTTCCCAACTTCATATCTTTGTCTCTGTTCAGTAAAAGGAACTAGATTAGAGACCCATTTCTACCATTCCATTAAAGCTAACATGTCAATACAATTAGCATTCTAATGGAAGAAAAGTTGCCAATGATCTTCCATACCCAAATTATTTAACAAAGCAAAAACTCCCTTAGTACGTATTATTACACAGAAACTAGCATGTAACATACACACACAAAAAACAAAGAAACTGGAAGAAAATACATTCACTTATGCTGGTGTTTTTATTAATTCTCTACTGCCTTTTGTTCACTTTGGAACAAATGATTACAGCAACTAAAATCTGTAATTACCTGTAGCTGTTTAGTTCTTCAGCAGCATGATTAATTTTTTCATCTACTTTAGAAAGTTTTTCTTCTTTCTGTAGGCGTTCTCTCTCTTCTACTGTCAGCTTCCTTTAAGAAAATTCGAAAACTGTGGTTAATTCTGTTTCAAGTCAACAATTTTGTAGTTGGTCTGTCAAGAAAAACTCCAATTTTTTAGGCGTGATGAATACATGATATTTATTCAGATAAACAGTTTTCTAGGCAATGTATGAAATGGCGTAAATAGCGCTAGTTTGTGTTCATATTAGTTTATTCAGTTCATTAACTGTTCTATATGAAACATTTACATTACCACTATTCCTAACTTTTTTACATTTAAAAATAATTTTCTGGAGAAGAAAAAGGTTGTCATTTGCTATTAAAAAAATGGTTATTAAAAACCCCCCCTCTTTCCAGGTACCTCTTTTTTATGCCTTATTGGGCACTACAGAAGAGAAAACCCACATTCCAGACCACAGAATATGCACAAGGTAATTCTGCAGAACGCACATGGATACTACTGCTGCATACAGCCCTGAATGGATAAACCAGTCATTTTCCTGTAACAGCAGTCCTTAGCTATCAAACTGTCTAAATCATGGATCTGTTGAACATGACTTAAACTTCTTTTCTACTCAGTCTTCATTTCCCACTTCTCTATTTCCCTTGTTTGAACATGACTAGCTTTCAAAAAGATGCCTTGTTAATACTCATAGCCTCTTTTATTCTGCTATCTCATCACACCAGCTTCTCCCCACTCCACTCTGGCTTTTCTAAAATCTTTGATAAGCAGCATACATTTGCTGAACTTCAGTGTGGTATTTTTAAGTATCATCCACACAGTCTGCAAACATTTCTCCTTTCTGATTGCCCATCATAGCTTCTTTTTAATAGCTTCCTTCCCACTCCCCCCCTTTTTTAAAATCAAATGTTAATGTAGTGGATTTTCTAGGTTTTGTTGCATCTACAAGGATGCCAAATATCTATACCAATATATATATATATATTACAAAGCACATTATTAAATGTAATTCTTTAAAAAGGTCCCGCATACTGCTCAGTACAGGATCAAGACTTGTGCTGCTTCTCTTGCTGCCTTCAAGATTACATCTGCTCCTTGAAGAAATAATTTCTGGCTAGTAAAACTGTAATTTTACCATCATGCCATGAAATGATGTCCCCTGCTCCCTCCCTGCCCCAACCACACACACACTTCTGAAGGTTACTACATGCTGCATCCCACCCAATCAACTTTATTTCTAGTCCTTAACACATTTCTGATTTCAATCAGTAAGTCACAATCCCTACCATCATCCCGACTGTGAGGCAGGTAGTACAGCCCTCATACTCTGTCTTTCTTGGTGAGGAAAGCCTGATTCACAGGGATTCTATGTTGCTTACTGATAATAGTTAGCTCATCTGTGTTTTAACTCTAAGCTTGGTTTTATACATAGCATCACTCCCCTGCGGACATTACTAGCTCTCTTTACTAAAAAGATATACCTCATAGTTAAAGCAGCTACTGATTATCTTTGCTACAGCAACTTTGATAGCTGTACTACATCATAACTTAATTTAAAAAAAACAACCACAAACCCCCAAGCTTTCCAACGTTACTCACCTTATTTCATAGACTAAAAATTTGTTACTTCTTGTTTTGTCTTTGTTTCTGTACTTGCTTGTGGAAAAGTCCTAAAATAATATACCACTACTTTCATGGAAACAATTTCTATAAAATTACTGTGATCACAAATGTACAGGAAGTATAACATAACAAGGTCTTCACAATTCAGAAAAGTCTGGAAAGCAGTATTCAAATTTTCAGTAATTTTCAGCCCCCCAAGTCAAAGAGTTACATTGAAATCAAACAGTATGCATTGAATATAAAAAGAGGAACCAGCACCTGTGTAGTTTCATTTCATTTTCTTGATAAAGCTCAGTCATTACTTTAAGTTTCTGCTGAAGCTTTTGAACTTCACTTTCAAAACGTTCATTTTCAGACTGCAAGGAAGCTTGTTGACTTTGAAGGTTTTCTATACGTTCTGTCAAATTTAGAGATAATTATATTGGGACAATGGATGATTTACAAAATTAAAATATCTGCCATATTTTAGTACAGAAAAAGTCTGTAAACACCTTTGATCCTATGTTGATTTAATAATATAAGCAATAATACGTTAAAATATTTCAGTAAATCATACAAATTGAGAAGCACTATTGCTCCTTTTGATGGGAAGCCAGCAACTATACCCTCTACCTGCCGCAAAGTGTAGCTCCAAGAGTCTATCTAGCCTTTGCTCCAAACTGTAAAGCTTCTTTGAAAACAATGCAGTTTTGTAATTCATAATATAATTTTTTATTTAGGGCTTTTATTATTGTAATTATTCTACTAAAGGAGTAAAATCAGTATCATCATATACTCTTGCAGATTTACTCACACAAAGTCTTGCTGAGTAGCCTGAAGGGATAACTCAGATTTGTCAAACTACCTTTTCTTTCCAAATTAAAATCAGTCACGTTTCTTCACCTATTTACTATTCCTATGCCTCTCTTCAAGAAATATAGAAAGCTTCAAGTAAGTACGACTATCTTTATGGGACAGTTACAATCGATTTGGAAAACACACTAGCACAGAGAGTGAGTTTAAAGGACTATCAAAACCTGAAAAATACAGTTTTACAGAGCATTTCACCACCCAAATAACAAAGCACAGTACATTCAAATGTGATGGCTACTCTGCTGGCTGTTATCTATGAAAGCAATAGCTAATTACAGGCTTGAATTTGAATTAAAGTGGCAGCATTTTCATTTCGTAAGGTTTCATTCAGTATGTCCCACAACAAAGGAAAAAAACAGAGCACGATGCTTTTAGGTTCAATTGTCTAGATGCAGTATTTTGGATTTTAAGAAGTATTGAGCTTGCACCCATTAACTAATTACAATTAAGCTACCATTTTTATTAGATGGTTTTAAAATTTAGATTAAAACTCCATTGTTTCATGCCTAGAAATTATGTAAAGAAGGAATTGTTTATTAACATCACTTTCCCATGTATTTTAAGATTCTATAACTTAACAGTTATAGACTACTTCAACAGAGTACAACAAAATTTGTAAATGGTGCTTTAGCAGCCATTATACATCATTACACTTTGCTTACTTTAACTCAAAAAATCAAATATTTAAAATAGCTAAGCAACTTACAACTCAAACAGGCATTTTAAAAATCCAGTAGAGCTATTAATGTAAACTTAATTCAGTTTTTACTGCAAGTAATACTTACTTAAAAATAAACCATTTTACAAAAGCAGCATCTTATTAATCTTAAAGGCAAAAAAACATTTAATTACCTGTAAGTTCTCCTTTAGCTTTATTTTCATCAGACAGTTTTGAATACATTTGATCTCTTTCTGTTTCCAGGGTCTTTAAACAAGCATTTAACTACAATCAAAATTTAAATAAAAAAGAGCATTTTAAGATTACCAGAAACTGTTTGCATGCAAAAATACCTAATTAAACATTAAAAGATGCTGAACTCTGTGAAACCGATATCTATATGCAATTAAACTTACCATAAAAATTGGATATATTCCCTCTACTTTCCCCTTCCATCCACAATTTTCTTAAAATCACATACCTTTGCAGCATAGATCAATTTCTTTACAGTTCGTTTTTGCTGATCATCTGATTGACAGAATAGAATAATACATCACATAAAAAGCACAAAAAGGTTTGTGATACAGCTTGCTACTATTATTTTATTTTGTTTTTATAAAAAAGCAATCCCCAACATAACATGATAGGTGTAGCATATTTGGAGGGGGGGGTGGGGAAGCGGGGGAAGAGAGGCTCCTCTGTGCTGCTGTTTTGAGGGGACCCACATCTATACACATCTGATTCCAGTGCTACCGTACTGCCTGCAACAAGTAACAGCTGCGTAAGCAGAAATTAGGCTCCAAGGACCCAAAATGCTACTGCTGGGAGGAGCTTCAAGAAGAAATGAAAGTAAGGTTTCCATCTAAATATGTCTGAGAACCACTACTTAACACTAACATAGGCTAAACCCATTCTGCAAGAGACGGAGCACTGAGTCTTTACATCACTCTATGATAATATGTATGCTTTAGCTATATCCACACACTGCTCAATAGCATAGGTTGTTATTCCAGAGGTGTCCAAGCATGGTAACTGTTCAACACGAATAACACTGGCCAACTTCTGAAAACCCAACTTCTACACAGCTAATCTTTCAACTTTCCTGGAAGTTCGTTGGTTCTGTATTTCTAAAACATCTATTAAATTGATATTTAATATGGGAAGCTGTACAAACCATACCTAAATGCTCTCCATTCTCTGTTTCACCCTTTATATCCGTGTCCCAGTGATTATCTTCAGCATCATCATCTTCTCTTATTGCTGAACTCCAGTCTTTCATCTTCAGTAAGTATTGTGTCAGCGACTAAGAAAAAGCCCACACAAAACACAAACCATAAAATAAACACAAGCAATGAAAAGGTAGTTACCATTATAGTTACTTTTTCAGGATTTCTGTCCTTTCTTTAGTTCCCTTAGTAGATTAAGTGAGCCCCACATACAGGATTCTAGATGTCTGATATTACTTCTTCTATTAAAATATATACCTGCAGGTCAACAGGTGTGCCCTTGTGAAGACTTTTCAGATAGCCAAGTATGCATGCTTTTAGCAGGGCTTGTGTATAAGGTACACACGTGTAAGAATACACTCCCAACTCTCAGCCCCAAATTCAAAAAAATGCAAATACTTCATCAGAAATAAAAGCATTTTTCCTTATTTAACGTGCTGGCTTCCAAGGCTATCGGATTGCTCCGTCGTGCTGCTAAGCAACCTTTTTTGCTTAGCAGGAAACAAGACATTAGAGGATGGAGACACCAAACAAAACCCCAAAACAGCTTAATGCATATTAAGACAAGAAGAGGTGGTTAGACTTTCTTGGAACTCAATGATTAGCACCAGTCTGAATAATTTGATTCAACACTAGCTGTCATAATTTACCTTGACTTGACTCTCTTTATTTTTCAATACTTCTTCTATATCTGCTTTAGACGATTCAAACATCTTAGTTTGTTCATTTAGTTCACTAAATCGTTCACCCCATCCTTCAGCTTCTTGTAAAAGCTAAAAAGGGAAATACCAGATTAGCGTGATTGTCTATTACAACCAAGAATCAAGAATAAATAGTACTTGAGCCTATTATGTATATTATCTATACACAAGCAGAATTTTAACCTCTCACCCATCGGACAGAATCAACAGAGATAGACTACAAGACAGTTAAACCTTGAGAGTTGAAAAATAAGACTTCTATGTTATTGTCCAGTTACTTTAGCTGCAATAGCTCTGCACTGTAATTAGTTGTTAGGATATTTTTAAACATTTGTAAGAACAGTCCAGTTAATACTCCACTCAGTTTAAAACCCTGATGCGACAATAGCAATGCATATAAAAGTGACAATTTGTGTAATAGCTACAAACACTGGGGAACGGATGGAGAGAACACTCATTCCCAAATATGCACACACTTCTGAAACTGTACCTATGTCTTTTCAACCTAGAAGAGGTCAGTGAGGTAAGGAAAACCAGAAAGCTTTTTAGACAGCTGTTTAAATTCACATGACTTGCAAAACTATACTATTTCTCCTACTCTCCTCCATACCTCTTAAAGCAATTTTTAAATTTTATTTTAAAAAAAAGCTTCCCTGTTAATGAGAGTCACAGCAACTGTATGTAATCAACACCTGCTAGTATGTATCTTCGTGATTAACTGTGGTTAACTAAAAAGACAGGTAGATTCCAAGGTTACGTTTTACAGACATCCCCTAGTAAAATCTCATTTCACAAAAATACTGTACAGAAGTAAAGGGATTAATACACTTAAGCACCAGTTCATTAAAAATAACCACTGCAACATCTTAACTAATTAAACCATGCCTTAATATTGTGAGAATGAAACTGAACTGACGCAATTTTCTGTTAAGACAAAACAGGCAGTACAATAACATGGGGTACAGTACAAAAAAAATTTGTCTTAGAGTCTGTCAAAAGAATATTGCTTGAAGTTGCACAACAGGCAACCAATTTAAAACAGTGAATGTACAGAAAGGAGTAACTAGGTTGAGCAACAAGAACATAACAGCCAGTTATACTAAAAATAAAATCAGAAAAAGGTAGTTAAACAGGGGAACTGCCATGCAAAAAGACAAGCAAGGCTGAACACTACTTATCAAAGATAAACTAGAAGGCATAAACCAAAAAGTATGTGACTAGAATTGGATGAACTCCACTTGGCACACAACTGCACCTTTCACGCAGTAAAAGCCATGCATGAATTTGCAGCATCACGCAAACTACGTATTAGAGATAAAACAAAAATACTCTTTATGGTAATATGCTCAGATGATGTACACAGGCAACTACTTTTATCATTAAGTGTCATCCTCAAAGGGAAGCTAAACTTGAAGAGATTCCTTCTTCATGAAGCCAAAAAGAAAATAAATTGACATGACTTTATATACCTGTAAGAATTACAATAAAGAGAAATAGCAAGGATTTGCAATAAGCTAAAGCAGTATGTATTTCTAATGTTCCTGCAAAAAACAAAGCTTAAAGTTTGGAGTTCATTAACAGTTCCCTTGTTCAAACTAAAAGGCCCAATCCTCTCTCTGACACATCATAAATGTGAGACAGCACATCTGTTATAATGTTTAAGCTATGATGTGCCAGAAGATTATGACCGATTAGTGCAAATGGACAGAGGAAGAAAGTACTCTAGCTTTTGTGAACAAATAACACCTTTGTTACCTTTTGAGCATAAGTGAAATTCCATCTTTAAAAAAAAAAAGTAAGAAAGAAAAATAAAGAAGGGATATGGATATTCTAATATAGCAAACTAACTCACATGTTTGCAACAACCTCATAAAAGAGAATACAAACAAGCAAAGCAGACACTTTCTCTTCTTTCCTTAGCAGGTTCTATCAACTCTTATCACACTATTTATCTACTAAAACCCATTGTAAAATACAACATACACAAATGTTCTCAAGTTACTAAAAACTAAAACAAAGCTCAGTTAACAACGAAGTGTAGTAATTCATCCTAAATAATGTGGTTCAGGAACTACTATACCCAGGTCATTTTATCTGGAAGGAATGCAAAAAACCCTTAATTTTTATCTAGGAACCTGCCAAATTAATTACATCCTCGGAGGTTTTTTTACTGATTTTTTTCCTGGTTTTGCTTGATATAAAATGATTGCCTATAAAATGTAGAGTAATTGTCAGCACTTAGTATTATCTTACTCTAAGTACTATTTTTTTAATAAAAGGAAAAAAAAAGATTATTATTTTCACACACACAAATATTGGATTATTTCTGTTTGAACCCAAGAAATCACCAGGAAAAAAAAAAAAAAAGCACCTATTAAAACTTTGCATAGTGCTTCTCAAAATTTATTACATAAGTATACTGTCACATTTGAAATAAAGCAGAGACCAGACCCTTCCTCCTCACAGAAACAAAGAAGATGTATAGATTAGATGAAAATGACTCTTGAAAGAAAATAATTCTCAAGCAACTTCATCTCACAGTGATAACACCCAACTCTACTGTTTCTTCACTCACAGCATCTAATAAAATTGTCTTCATTTTTTTGTAGTCACAAACACGTACTCCTTCCAAAGTTAGAGAAAAATACAAAGTTTTCCTGATAAGAGTTGTGCAAAACTGAAATACTCCTCCTGCAGAAAATTTTCTCTTTCCAGTAACCTTTTTTTTCTGTATCAGTACGTCCGATATGCACAATGACAGAGAGGACTAAAGCGCTCCCCAGCTTTTTATAAGACTGCTAAAAACCTGTACTTCTACTCCCCACCCCTGCAAGATACGTGTCAGGTTACTGTTCAGACAACAAGGAGATCATCAGTCAGTGAGGAAAATAAGCACATATCCATTAATAAAAAATCAAACCAAAACAAAAAACCCAACCAAACAACCCAAACCCCCACAAAACCCCAAATCATTCCATGGAACATTTAATGTTCAGAGAGAATATCTTTTTGTTAGGAAAAATTAGAATAGTTTCATTGGAAAACTAGTTATTGCACAGGACAACTATCGCATATGCTGAACATTTTAAAATAATCAGCATTCTTTGGGATCTGGCTATGGCACTGAGGAAAATAAACAGCTAAAATTTGGGAAGTAACAGCCTTTCTTGTCCCTTCGTATTACTTAACCTGACTTTCCATTAATTCATCCACAGTGGTACTACAGCAAGTTTTTTACCTGCCTTGCTTGCTCAAATCTTTCTGCTCTCCTCCAGGTCTCAGCAAAATTCTTATTAGTCTTACACTACCATATGCTCTCTTTCTCACTGAACTCTATGCATGTTTCCCCACAAAAACTCTAATTATTAAATTTCTCTTAAAACAGGACTATTTTAGACAAAGTTATTCCAACATAAAATAATTTTAAAGCCATGTCCTCTTCCTCATTCCATTTACTAGAACACGCAAGGGGTATTAACAAGCACATAGAGATCAGCTCCTTGGAGAAATAATTTACATGGTATCATAAGAAAATATAGTATTTCTAAGGATAACTAGAAAGAACCTACCTGTTTCTCACTTTCCTGGAGACGGCAGTTTTCATCTACTGCATCTTGAATGGATGTCTTGAGTCGCTCTGTATTAACCTGATATACTTTTAGGGTGGACTTGGCCTAAGTGAAATAAAGAAGTGTGTTGTTTACACAGTATAGATGAAGACGTAAGTGGGGTCATGATAGTATTATTGGACTTACTCTTAGGTTTTCTAGCTGTGCTATATATGTATTCTCACATTTTCACTACAATTTCAACATTTTTTGCTGATTGTAGTTTTGCAACACTATTTATCATTGTGGAGTAAGAAGGCAAAGAAAAGACAAGGTAACTGTACTACCCAATAAACGCCAATCACTACCTGAAATTCAAAGTTGCTAAATCAAGTCACACAAAAGTACCAAGCCTTACAAAGTCTTTTGGTTTACACAGCACATTATTTCTGCACCCTTAATAGAAAAAAAATTAAAACTGTAACTACATGGACAACAGAGAAATTGCAAAGATTTGAAAACAGAAACTATGAAGATTGGACAAACCTCATCAATTTGTGACTGGATAGATTTTGCTTCATTCTCTAAAGACTCCACTCTCTTCTGAACTTCAGCCACCTGAAAATTATTAGTTGTCATATAGCTTCTTCCAGAGATTTGACTGAAAAGGTCTAGGCAATTAATAAAGTTATTTTGATTTTCAAACTGAGAAGGTTCTGCTGCCAAATCAGCAAAAACAGCTTTTCTTAAGTATTCGCCTTTATAGGTGTAATTTTTCTAATATGCTACAGGGAATATAAGGGGAGACAAAACGGGCAATGTAGGTTTTGTTTCAAAAACCCAAAGAGAATAGTTTGTCTTCTCCATAGAATTTTTTGTGGGAATTTTTTTAAAATTAATAGTAACAAAGACAGGGTTCTGTTTATTCTTACCAAGTTATCATTTTCTGATTGCTTAGATTTTTCTTCTTCCAGTTCTTTTTCTAGATTCTCTATTTCTTGATTGAGTTCCAAGTTTGACTTGTTCAGTTTTTCATGCATTTCCTAAATCAAGTTGTTTTGACAGTTAACATAAAACATTTTACATTATTTACACATGAAGACAACAAGTATGTTTTAAATATGACAGCAAAGTACATTTAACAAATTTCACCACATCAAGGATAAATCTCGAAGTACTCTAAAGTCTCTTGCATGTTAACAAAACCTGTAACGATTAGCTTTATAGGATCTGAGGTGCAGAATGAAAAAAATCTATTTGCTTTTTTGTTACATAAATTTTATAGAGCCCATTAGGTATCTGATTCACTTTTTCAGACCTCTTTTACAAATATATTCTCAGTTTGCGGGATATGAACAATGTAGTGGTAATTTTTGTTTACAACCATGCTCCAGTAGCCAATAAAATATATTTAAATTAAATCAGATGTGAGAAAAAACCACTTCATGCACTACTCTCCTAGAAACAGGAACAATTTACTTTTTAAAAAATTAAATATTGTCTAATATGCCATTTGCTCTAGTATCAATCATTTTTAATGTAATTTTTACAAAAACTTCTCTTAATTTAAATGCCTGACTTCTACACCATTTTCAGTAACACAGGACTAAAATAACAATGCTCTCAATTAAAACAATTAAGGATTTTTGGGTTTTGGTTTGGGGTTTTTGTTGTTGCTTTAGTTTTTTGTTGTGTTTTTTCTTTAATATGGGCAGCATTTTCCTGAAATACTGCCTTAAATTGTAGAAATAACAATTTCCATTTATCTTTTACCTCAAAAAAGGATGTGTCTGTTGATTCTTTCACAATGTTATCATCCTTCAGAGACAATTCTAAATCTTCAAACTGAAAAGGAAATACTTCATGTTAGAATGAATGTAAAACATTGCTTAAATAATAGCATTAATTTATGATGCTCTGGTCTGAAACATAGCCACCACCTAAATATTCACAAATGCACCTTGCTGGAAATCAGGAAAGCCTTAGCCCTAGTAGGTTACCCCAGCGGCATAAAACAAAGACATTTTAAAGTTGCTTCCAGTGAAATACATTGTATTAAGAGTTAAAGACCGAACTTGCTAATACCTTAATTGCACTTAAAGGCACTGACAGTAAAAAGCATTTGAAGAATCACTTTAAAAGGTTTCAAACATCTTACTTTTAGGTCAGTTTAATACTTCAAATACTTGATAAATTGAGCCCATTTCTGTGACACATCTGAAAGCAATAAATGAGGATCGCTACCTCTTTTTTGCAAAGGCTGAGTTTTTCAAGAATTTTGCATTTGTCTTCAACTAGTTCAGCAATTTTATTGGCAAGCTGTTTTTCCCTTCCTAAAAAAGAAAGACCGTTAAGTGTTGCAACATCCAAATAATTAAAAGGAGAAAAAAAAGAAGAAAAAAAAAAAAGGAAGAAAAAAGTCACACTCCAAAGAAACAGTATGAAAAATAAGCTTACCTACATAAAGTCGACTTCTAACCTGAAATAAAAAGAATAAATAGTGAAAATGTCTGATCAATTACTCTTGCATAGTATCTGAAAACTAATCTTTTAAGCTATGGTTCCATGATCAGTTTAACCACAGAGCTTAAAAAAGGAATATAAATACAGGCTCCTGTTATAATTGGGCAATTGCCAATGGGAAAAAATGGGAAGTGCTAAATCAGCAGCTGCCACATGGGGTCTAGTGCCCTAGAATCAAAATCTAATAAACTGCAGGACAAAATCAGTCACAAATGGCCTGGACAAGAGATGCAGAACTTGGATGAACGCACAAAAACTTCACAACACAGCATTCCATTCAAGGCTGGGCCTGGATCATGTGCCTAACATAGAATGGGTCCCTCAGATTTTCCCTGTTTCCTCCTCATTTAAAGCCATGTGATGCCCAAGAAGTCCAAGTAATAGAAAATGGGCAAGAAAGTCATAAGCACACCTTACGCTGTCATCCCCCCAAAAAAACCCAAAACCAAACCCCATTACTTTTGAGTAAGTAACCACTAATTCTTCAAAGAGCAGTCAGTGCAGTTCTAAGTATGGATGACTGAAAAAGCTATCAATAACTTCTGTAATATCTAATGCCTTAGTGACATGTGCAGGAGGAAAACAATACTAGAGTTGCTGCTTGACTAACTTCAACTGACACACCTCTTTCATACCATCTAGAGGGATGCTGCTAGAAAACAGAAGGAATGACCCAAATTATAGATACATTAACTTATACAAATACAAATTCCCTTCTGGACAACCTGAATCACTGCTACAGAATAAGGTGGCATTTCTCCAGACCTAAGTTGATGTTAGAACCCTAAAAATGCAGTTACTCATATCTGAAAAACTAAACTGCTATGCAACCTATCTTCAAACATAAGCATCATTACACCTAGCACCAAAATCACACTCTATTTAAGAGCATGCAAAAACAGGGGAGAAATTTAGAATACTGAATTACATACACTGACCCCATTGTATTAGCAGGGAAAGAATGGTAGGCAGCTGTTATTACTCATATCCTCGCTTACTCACAATAGAAGATAACCCTTACCTCACAAATATAATCTGATTTGTGAGTTAAAACGTTTTAGTACTGCATTTCTCAAAGGCTTAGTGCTCACAAACAGCATACAGTAAAATTGGTTCAGTGTTCCAATAAACAGAACTGAGGTCACTGTCCAAAGAGTTTTAAAATACCTCCCTTGATGGGATCCATCTGGATTGCTTTTGTTTATCATTGCCTTGAAAGACCTGAGCTGGTCTGGCTATAGCCAGGGTAGTCACAGAGATATCAATAAACATAGCAATACGTACACCCTAGGGAAGACCTCTATCTATATACCATGAAAATAATTTAACGGATGACTTTGAAAGTCTGGTGTATAAATTAAAAAGGGAAGGAAAAAGGAAGCCTTACTACAGCGAGTTTCATTGCACTACCTCTAATGACAAGACTCACCCAGTACACATCCAAACACTTACTGTCTTGACAAAACAGACTACTTCTCAATTTCTCTTTTAGAGGCATTTTAAATTCAATCACAACAGATTTAAAACTCTGAAGCATTATATATCTTGAACAGAGTAACAATTTCAATTCAAACCATTCAATTCAAACCATTAATTCACTCTACATATCTGCATGTAATTTGAACACTTACTGATTGATAACTTCTATACAGGAACAAGAGAACTGTAAAGGCTCCAACTATGCCAGCACAAATCACTATTTCCCACGGGAAACCATACAGATCAGGACCAGGCCTCATATCTTCAGGCAGTGAAGCCGCAGCCTGAAAAATAAAGTAAAAAGCTTCAGCTAACAGAAAAGAGGTTAATGTTTTCAACAGAAATACACATTACATGTTGACTTAGTTTACTTCTAAGGCTTGTACATCTATTTTGTTTCCAAAACTCTAAGAAAATGGTTAACAGAAGCCTTTGATTTTTAAACTTTACATTTACCAAGTCAAGAAAAAAAATAAGAAAAAAGAGAAGTTCCAACAAGATATGATGATGACTAAATAAAGCTCTGAAAACTTCTCCTGACCCTACCACTTACAGTAAATTCTCCTTCAAGTTGTCTACGTATTTCACCATTAGAAGAATCAATACTAAGAAGTATTTTATGATTTACTGGTAGAAAATTTGTTTGGTAGAAAAACCTGCTCAACCAACTTCATGCTAAAATACCATACTGAACACAGTTAATGATTTAACACATTTTAAACACTTACATACATTCACATTTTATTTGTAAACACATACCGCTATTTTCTCAAAGATATAACCTGCTTAATGTAGCTCACATTTACTACGTGTGACCTGTGTTTAAGAACGTGTAACTGTGCAGTAAAGTCTTAATCTCGATTTCTTTAATCAAACGGCCAGACGACCCCCACCTCAAGCCAAGCGGGGTGTGCGTGTGTGAGAAAGCAGGGAGCGTCCGTTTCACTGATTTGGCTTTTTGAGACCTCTGCTATTCCCGAAGAAAGGGCCAG